GTTTCTCAGGAAGTCGAGCCTGTTATGACTGATCTTACTTTGACGGTCGAAGAAGTGCAGGCAGTTCTCGAAAACCTTGACAGCACAAAAGCCACGGGACCCGATAATATTCCTGCCCGTTTGCTTAAAGAGACAGCTCCTATCATCTCTCCGTCTCTGTGCATGTTATTCAACAAATCCTTAGATGAGGGTGTCCTACCGGAAGAGTGGAAACTATCAAACATCGTTCCTGTACATAAGAAAGGCGAAAGAGAATATACAGAAAACTACAGACCAATCTCGCTACTGCCAATTGTCTCAAAAGTCTTGGAACGCTGCGTTTTCTGCAACATTAAAGTCCACCTATTCCAACTAATACAGAAATCACAGCATGGATTTATTTCAGGCAAATCATGCATAACGAATCTTATGGAAGTTCTTGAATTCATTGGCTTGGAATTGGACGCTGGAGGGCAGATTGACGCTATTTACCTTGATATATCCAAGGCTTTTGACAAAGTTAACCACGAGCGCCTCGCATACAAATTGCGCATGGCAGGATTTGGAGGTAAACTTCTCCAATGGTTTCACTCCTACCTAACTAATCGTAAACAACGTGTGACTGTCCTTGGTGCAACATCAAATACCCTCCCAGTAACTTCAGGCGTACCTCAAGGCTCAATTCTTGGCCCTCTCCTCTTTGTCTTGTACGTCAACGATCTTCCTGACGCGGTCACATCCAGCCAAGTTGCAATGTTCGCCGACGATACCAAACTATTCACCTCCGTCAAAAGAGAAGACGACTGTAAACGCCTCCAAAGTGATCTTGACAACCTGCAAACATGGTCATTAACGTCTGGCCTCCCTTTCAACGAGAAAAAGTGTAAATCACAACGAATCACGAGAAAAACCATGCCAATCACGAACAACTACAAACTTAACACCCTAAACATACAACAAACTGACAGTGAACGAGATCTCGGCGTGTGGGTGGAGAACAAACTTACGTGGAACAAACAAGTTAACGAACAATCGACCAAAGCAAACAAGTTACTTGGATACATCCGAAGATCATCTCTGTATATCCACAACACCTCAGTCCGGCTCACGCTGTATCTGGCCCTTGTAAGACCACACCTAGGGTATGCAACACAAATATGGGCTCCACAGTCAGTTGAACTGTTGAAACAAGTCGAGCGCACACAAAGAAGAGCAACTAGATTCATCCTCGAGTTACCATTTTCCTGTACCATGGACTATACCACCAGGCTCCAGGCTCTATCGCTCCTACCAATCTGTTATTGGCATGAGTACCTTGACATGGTTCTCTTTTACAAGATTACCCACGGACTTGTAGACATAAATGAATCTCTCCTTCCAACAATCCGCACCTCCAGACAAACTAGATCTTCCACCAGTACTTCCACCAAATATGTCATTCCGAAATGCAAGACATCCACCTATCAACGATCTTTCTTTATCCGATCAACTCGGATCTGGAACCTCCTCGCCGATCAACTAAAACTGGACACATGTGGTTTCTCTACATTTAAAACTGTCATTTTTAATTATTACTCTATGTCATTAAGAACTTGTTACAATGTCAACGACCCTCGTTCGTACAAAACCATTTGTCCAAAGTGTAACTCTGTTCGTAGTCTTAGTATTCCAATCTCGTGCTGCATGTGAAAGACGTATTGTTGTTATTTTCATATGCTGTTTGTTGTTAGTTGATTATTGTATTTGTTAAATTTGTAATATTAGTTTTAATGTTAGTTTTACGGGGCCGTAGTAATTGGCTAAGTGCTGTTACGGACTCCCTGCCATTAATTGTAATATAGTTATCTACAAGGCAAAGCTAATAAATTAAATAGCATGTGGTAGTTTGTGGTTTATTGCCCTCCATAGTTTTACAAGCTTAGAAGAAGACCAACTCCCCCTAAATTTTCGCGCAATCACAATATCGCTGTTTCAGTAGAATGTCTTCACTCTTTAGCTTACACAGCTATATACTATTTGTTCGTAGTTCATATACAACTCTGTATATGATATGGTACATGTTGCAAGCTTGGATATATGTGAAGTAAAGATCGTACTTCACATAGATCATGCTATATAATACAATATAAGTATACTATATCAACATTAGTATTACAAAATATGTCGAGTCATAGCTTGGAACGCGTTAAAAAAACAATACACCTAACCTCACGTCGTATTCTGACTTGCGATGTCGTCCGATATCCCTTAAGAAACATCAATCTGTCTGGAAAATAGTGTATACCTATGACATGGATGTGCGTATTATTTTAGTGCGGATATAGCTGTATGCGCAGTACGCATACTGCATGTCACTCAGTTGGTTACTTGATGCACAGCTGGCATCCTCTTGTCGCCAATTGAAATTAAACATGAAACGATTAAGAAGAAGAGTGCATGCATGTTTTTCTATTGATTATCAAAATTCGCTTAATTAAAATAAAATTACATGAGCAAAGCGGAAAATACAATACATTTACAAGAAGTGGGCTAGAGGCCTACTATTAATAGAAACATGTGGCTTTTAATATTTGCTTCCTTGTATATATTTGTAATCACAAAATATTATACATTTAGTTCCATTGTTATAAGGTTTAGGCTGGCCCTTCCTTATATATTCACATAGGCATTCATTAAGCAGCCTAGCATTAATGACTAGCTATAGAGCAACAATATGACTGAAATAAATAATATGAAGTGTGATGTTGCCTTATTGGCATCTTTTCATGTTATGCAGTGTCGTGCAGCGTGATAGGAAACAACTGCATTACACGTCATAAAAAGTGACATTAATTTAATTAGATTAGTGTACACAGTAGCCATGGAACAGGACGAATTCGAGCACGGCTAACAGGCCGAATACGCGTATATAATCCTATACAGGCACTTGGGATTTGACTATTTTTAAATACTAACTACAAATGTTTATTACACTGTCGTTCCTAACAGAAAGTAGCTGAAATTAACAGAAATGCCAGCTAACATTGCTAACTTCTTATTTCATCTATAATTTTGACTGTATCTTTGTCGAAAGTGATTTTATTATCATTTTCGTCAGAGTGAGATTTTTGGGGGGACACACTGTAGTATATTAAATCGCTAATGTTTAATACCACAAAATAAGAAATATAAATATAGATACAGTACGTTTGTAAGTATATTAATATGATTAGAATCAAGTATATACAGTATTAGTGTGGAAGTCATAATATTAGAGTGAAGTAAATATTAGAGTCAAATAGATATTACAGTAAATTTATATATGGTCTTATTAAATGGTTTAATTTAAGTTTGGTTCTGCTCAAAATGATGACAAATCAACTAAAATAAAAAGAAAAAAATTATATGTCTCCAGTTCAGAAAGTCACATTATAGTGCGATCTCTTGGGAGTACCTATACATCAGGTTTTTGCCTTCGGCGTGTCTGTTCTATAATCGTTCTAGAAGACATGCCATGATACTGAATCGGTCACTTTTTATTCGTTTGTAATTTTTGTAAGATTTGCGTTTATTTGGGGCGTATAATCCTGTTAGGTCGCAAGCACATATCAAATGGCGTTATAGTGAGAGAAAATTCTTAATTTCACTGTGATAATTGTGGTCATGGTGTAAATCATATACATATCTCAAATGACGTCTATGTTTGGTAACTTCGGTTCAGTTGACTATTAGCGCTAAGGATAAGCTTGAGAAATCGTGATTTCCGACAACACGAGTTAAATTTAATTCGGCGTCATGTCTTATTATACTGATCCGCCGAATTTTTTACACTTAGCCTACATTCGTGCAGCAAACACCATGACGTGCTAAATGTTTTCCTTATTCAATACTGATTTCATATGCATATTTCCATTGACTGATCGGTATAGAGCGTTTTATCGTAAGCCATTTGCTTTACAAATTATAAACATGACTTCAATGAGAAACTTGCGTGCGTATGAAACTACAGGTTTTCAGCATAAAATCTACACACCAGGCTGTTCCGGTGTTGTTCATTGCTTGCAAAATGAAACGTTTGCGAGTTCGCGAGAAAATACTCAAACATTAATAAATTTTCACATGATATAATTTCACTAAACAACGAAAAGTCATCATTACAATGACATATAGGCTATAGCTGACGAGAGTGTCAAGCGAATAAGTTATTGTGAGGAAGAAAAGCAATTACATTAAGATTAGTGTCAAGATAAGATGTGTTAACACAATTAGGCTAGAAGTGATAATAAGGTAAAAATGTATAAGTGTTTGCCACCAAGAGGAAATTTTAAGTTAATAGGTTTTGCGGCGTAAAGATTCATTGAACTAAGCTGCGCGACAGCTTCAAAACAAAGTACCTATATGGATGTAATAAGCGAGAGGATGCAGACAACTTAATTGCACAAGCTCTTACTGCAGGTATTTTGTTTATAGGTAGATATATGTAGGGGGCTGAATAAAAAATATGAATAAAGCGTTTCATAAATCAGCGAGTACTGCATGTTGTTATTGACAGAAACTTTCTCGTATAATAAACACACATAATCAAAACTGTTAATAAGCTTAATTCGCTATACTCGCTGATCTAACTATATTCAATATAAAATTACAACGTCGCGTCATCATAACTTTCATCTATTACGAACATAATTATCATATAACATCACATACAACATCAATATCGGCATGGGTTAGCCTGCATGTGCGGGAATATATATATAATACACTACACTCTACAGTTAAAATATTTAAGTTTCAGCAGCAACTGGATTCGGTGCATGATATAAAAATTATTACATTCACTAACTTAATTCCCCTACAGGCTGCTCCATTTACTGTTCTAAATGTTCTAGAACACTGTTCTGGAACATTTCATAATGGAACGAAACATAGCTAGAGCACTGTTCTGGAACATTTCATAATGGAATGAAACAGAGTATTTTGAATTGATTTTCAACAAAATCATACTCGGCCCATACTCCGTGCTAATCGTAAAATAAATCAAGATGGCAGACCAATTATTACCACTATTTTTTGCTGTGATGGAAGATGAAGATGATGAAGAAAAAAATGATGATAATAACACGGAAACTTTTTTTGCCACAGCTATTGCTATGTAAGTTTTGTTGTTGCATTTGAAGGAAACTAAATTGAGTTTTTATTGCTAAAACTAAAAGGAATAATTGAATAAACAATTACCACTATACATAAGTCAATATGTACTATTTAAAGCACGCGTAGGAGTGTTTTATCACATATAAAACACGACGCGTAGCGGAGTGTTTTATATGTGATGAAACACGACTACAAGTGCTTTAAATGGCTTAAAAAACGACTCCTCTTATACGAGTTCATTGGCGAAGTAATTTTTAAAATAAACTTTGTCTAAACCGAGAAAATCAAAGCTAAAGTTTATGTAAATTAACATGATTTTTTATCACATATAAAACCACGATACGCTTATGATTTTTCTTTGTGTTTTGCTCCTGAATTATTAATGAGTTTTTAAGTACTATTTAAAGTATAGCTATAGGCCAAATTTTTTCGCGACTGAGATATATAAACAAACTACTGGTATAAAAAAATAAACATGTATAGACATGAGATATGACTGTGTCCCATATATCAGTTGTTTTGTCATGACACTTCTCTTATTTTAAACAAGGGTTCGAGAAGATAGGACAAAAGTTGGCAATTACGCAGAATTGACAATACCCAGTTATCTTATAGACGATTTTCAGAGATTTTTCAGGATTTCAAGAGGGACATTTGAAGTTATTCTCAGAAATATAGCCGTTTATCTTACACCTGATATTGGAAGAGGAAGAGCTGCTATAACTCCTGAAAAACACTTATTAATTACTATTTGGTTTATTTCACACCAGGATACAATTCACAGAATGAGCGATAGATTCAGTGTTACAGATTCATCCATTATCCGATGCAGAGACAGAGTTTTCACTGTTGTTTTGAGATATTTAAAAACAAAATTTATCTACTTACCTGAAGATTATAATGTAAAAGCCCAAATAATGGATGAGTATAGGATTGGGTCTCAGTTCCCAAATGTGTTAGGAGCTATTGATGGTACTCACATACGCATTGTCGCACCCAGTGAACATTCTCAAGTATATGTAAACAGGAAAAAATTCCATTCGCTGGTATTGCAAGGAATTTGTGCCAGTAACATGCAATTCTTGCATGTTCTAGCAGGTTGGCCTGGCAGTGTTAATGATTCTAGAATACTTAGAAACTGTGACGTTTGGAACATTGCTCCAGATTGGTGTGGGGTTGATAATCATTTGGTGGGTGATGGGGCTTATCCATTGCAACAGTGGCTTTTAACGCCATTCAGAAACAATGGTCATTTGACTCAGAGAATGCGCCGATTTAACTATCGATTATCCTCCGCTAGAGTTGCAATTGAACGGGCTTTTGGTCTGCTGAAGGGGAGGTTTCGTCGCCTAAAATTGCTTGACACAAAAACAATCAAAACTGCAGTTGATACAATAATTGTATGTTGTATATTCCATAATATATGCATCGTTAATGATGATGTATTAGAACAATACATTACAGAAAACCAAGAAGAAGCTCACCAACACAATAACCTGGCCTTAAACAATGAAGATGATGAAAATGGTATGGAAAAACGAGACCGTATTGCTGATGGATTTATTTAAAAATAGCGCCCTACGAAAGAAATATGCTTTAGCTTAATACCATACATTAGGAACATGCTTAGTTAATTGGTTAAACTGTCAAAGCATTACAATATACAGTAAAAACCGCTTAAAAGAACCATGCATTGGATTAAGAATATGCACCAGCCCGAAATTTAGGCAAATAAACACACAAACAAGAACAACTTCATACGTTACTACACGGTTCTTTAAAAGTTTTTGTAGTCTAGCTGGAGTAGAATTGTATAAAACATGTTATAACAGCAAGTACAAATGCAAACTGAATTTAAAACCATTACAAACGCAACATCATCTGTTCGAAAAACACCGGGAACAATTTATCGTGTGTTTCTTGAATTGAAATAAGAACTACTTCAGCCTGAAATAGTGCTTCTTTTACGTGGGTTTGTACTGCATTTTGATTTTTGTTCAACAAATATCAACTATTAACTAACCACTTTAATTGTCATGAAGAGTAGTCATGTTCGTTAATTTGTTTCAAAACTTTAACTTTCTAACAAAACAAAAGTATTATGTTTCTTTTACATCCATTTAGTTCTTCATATCTTTGAACACATCAAGAAAGCCTTTCATTACTGTCATTCGTTCCTGGTGCATCTGCTCTTGCCTTTGCAATGTTTCTTGATGCCTATCACTTTGTGATTGGATGTGGACTTTAAGAACATCCAAGACTTCAGAAACATTTGAACGTCTCTTCTTCACAGGAGCAGGAGCAGGAGCAGGAGCAGGAACAGGAGATGTGGAACGGGTAATATCTTCTTCACTATCTTCCTCAATACTTTCCAAATCAACCAAGGATCCCGAGCTACTAACTAGATATGCCGGCTTAACGTTAGGTCGTTCAGAGTAAAACTCAAGCTCATCTTCATATGGATGTGTTTTTAGGTCATTTCCGGATTTAGAATTGTGATCAGCTACCTTTTTTACACCTCTGACAAGGGTTTTCCACCTCCCTTCACATTGTTCAGCTGTATAACAGTACCCATGTTGTTCCATGATTTCAGCTATCTTTGCCCACAGATGTTTCTCTTCTTCTTGATTTTCCCCTCGAATGATTTATATTGGTCAATTAGCAACAAGGTTTCGACACGTTGCCAAACAACATTTTCACCTCTGGTATCTGAAAGAGAGCAGGGGTATATTTACAGGGGGTTGCACATGCGTGCACATCCCTGTTGGCCTTGATCAACAGGGGTACAAGGGGGGTGTCAGAAATATGGCATGATTTTCAAGGTTTTTCGTTTTTTGAAGTCAAACTGAAGCTCATAATCCAATGCCCACATTGCAGGAAATGGCATTCCCAGGTTCTAATTTTCAACATTTTCCAGGGGGCATACCCCTGAACCCCTATGGAGCTTGCACCTTTGGTGCTCAAGTCATTAGGAATCCAATTCATTTGAATGTTCTCCCACTACCCCCTAAAGACTAATAAAAAAACACTCGGCTGCTCACCCAGCACCCCCCTCCCCCCAGAAAAACCTTAGTTGCTGGATCCACCCCTGAAATAGATAATTTAATATATGAATAGACCTTAAAAGTGCTTATGGCACATCACTGTCAGACAATGAATATTTGACCCACATGTATATCCCTTACAAAAAAAGTCTATAGGTGGCCTATACGTTCCTATAGAAATTGTTCCAATTCCCTATAGAAGCCTTTAGGCACCTATAGAGCTCTATAGACTTATAGGCATCCCTATAGGTCACCTATAGAAAACGTTCCAATTGCCTATAAAAACCTATAGGTTTCCTATAGAAACCTATAGGTTGGCCTATAGGCCAGGCCTATAGACTTTTTTTGTTAGATCGATATCCCACATTGCATTGCATGTACCTAATGTTTAAGTTTCGATGAATTGATTTGGGCAGCTGAAATGAATAGATTGTAAAACTAATCTAAAAATCATATAAAACCGTACTATTGTTTGTGGAAGCACCACATAAATTTATTACTGTAAAGCTTTCGATCCATAAGCCCGGATCTTCATCATTGCTAATAATATGTGACTAGTTCAATTAGAATCGCTTGACTAAAATTTGAAATGGGGGTTGATGTACCATTTCATTAAAAAATGACGCTAGCTAACAAATCACAACACTTTGGTATTGGAAAAGGGCATGTGAATTGAACTAGCCACATATTATTAGCACTGCATGATGAAGATCCAGGCTTACGGATTGAAATCTTTGCAGTAATAAATTTACGTGGTGTTTCCACAAACAATAGTATTATATGTTTTATCCCCATGCAAACCCACAAAGAACTTAATTCTAAAAATCATTCAGGTGCTAAACTATAAGTTTCCCGCTCCCCTTTAAATAGCCATGAAGAGGGTGTGATTAGATAATCGAGTACAGTGCCACATGCCTAAAGGCACAATGCTCATGCAATGAAAAGACATGATAAATAATATATCACCTGCTTGCTGCATCTGACTTTGAGGAACTGATGCATTTAATGGCACAGTCACAGAGCTTTTGCCTGTAAAAATTAGAATAAATCAGTGGTAGGACAGTTCAACACCATGTATGAATGCCCAACTGGGTCATTCCAGAAAAAATACAGCCTACTTGTGGTAATAGTGGCTTGTACTAGGATGGCTGAAAGAAGAGACACGGAGGTGGTAAACTTCTAATGTCCTCTGTAATGAACCATTGAAATGAAATGGCATGATAATAAAAATATACCTGCTTGTTGTGTTCGACTTTCAAGTGGTGGGAAAGATACATTTTGTGGCTTTGTTACTGAGCTATTTCCTGCAAGATAGATATGAAAAATTGGTTACCACAGCTTAATATTATTCCTGCAAGGTTAAGATGTAACATTAATTAAAATGTATCACTGGTAGAGCATTTTGCTTTTTTATTGAAGTGAAATGACAAAATAAAAAATACCTTGTTTCTGTGTTTGACTTGGAGGAACTGGTGCATTTAGTGGCATGGTCACAGAGTGATCGCCTGAAAAAATAGAATAAATCAGTGGTAGGACAGTTTAACACATTGTCTAGCTAGGTCATTCCAGAAAAAATACAGCCTCTTTCTACATGTGATAATAGTAACTTGTACTAGAATGGCTGAAGGGAAAAACAGGGAGGTGGCAAACTTCTAATATCCTCTGTGGGTACAAGTGTCGGGTGTTTTCTGTAATGATCTATAATCCATTGAAACAAAATGGCATCATGATAATAAAAATACACCTGCTTGTGGCTTTGGCACTGAGCTTTTTCCTGCAAGATAGATATGAAAAATTAGTTACCACAGCTTATTCATGTAAGGTTAAGATGTAAAATCAATTACAATATATCACTGGTAGGGCACCTTGCATTTTTTTATTGAAGTGAAATGACAAAATACCTCCTTTCTGTGTTTGAGTTTGACTTGGAGGAACTGATGCATTTTGTAGCTTAGGTTGAACGCCTTTCCCTGTAATATTACAGTAAGAAGTCTTATCACTATCATACAGTTTAACTGTATAAGTTTATATAAGGTACATATTATAAAGGTATATATTTATTTTATCAAACAACTCGCTGTATATAGTATGCTGCAGGTTTATGACTACAAATATACAATTGAAGGAGAGATTTCTTTAATATTTCTGTGTCTAGACCATTGTCTACGTGTGTAGAGGCTAGACTGTATTACTGACAACTTAAATATCCTTTAAAATAGCATCAAATTCATTTGATTCTCACAGTCATTGCTGGAATATAATTTAGGCACTAACCTGTGCACTTATGTGTACGTGCTGAAGCCAAATCGACAAATATATTGGTGCAAAAACCACATTTATACAATTGTACAGTTGCCGCCATTTTGAAAACATGTGAATATGTGATGAAAGCTATGATGAAAAGTTGTAAACGCCATCTAAATACGTCACTTCCTGTGTTCTGTTCTGACTGCCCCTACTCGAAAATCGGGGTAGTCAGAACAGTTCGGAACAGTCATGTGACTATCTTCTGTTTCATTCCATTAGTGTTCCTGCTAGTGTATCACATATAAAAACAGGTACACTGACTAATGCTTCTCCACAACTCACAGCTGCTGAATTATTTTAATCCCTCAAACCGTTTAACGGCTATCCGTTAAACGCACACTTTCCTCTATCCGTTAAAACGGATTCCTTCATCCGTTTAAACTGGTGGCTTCATCCGTTAAAACGGATGCCACTATCCGTGAAAACGGCTTCTTCCATCCGTTTAAACGGTAACCTTTAACCGTGAAAACGGTTTCTCGAAAGCGTTAAAAAATATCATGGCACCGTTTTAACATTTTCGAAGACCGTGAAAACGGTTTATACAAACCGTTCACTATCCGTTTGCAATCCTTTTTTTGGCCGTTTTAACGGAAAAACGTTAACGTATGTTTTCCCAAAGAGGGTCACATTAAGTTTGAAAGGAAACACCCGACTAATCGGCCAGATGTTGTGATGTATATATACAGCAATAAATTTTTTCCTTTTTGTTATGTCTTGTTTGAAAGTCATATGCTTGGCTTTAATATTTATCTAATTCTTTAAATAATGAAATATATATTGTAACTATATAATAATCTTTCAAACTTTAGAAAGTGATGTAAAAATGGGAAATGAACAGGAGAAAGACTCATTAATAAATGATGAAGGTACTTTTCTTCTTGTTACAGTATGCTGAATGCAAGGGTCTTGACTGTTTGTAACAATTACAAATTAAATTACTTCAAAGTAAACTTCTCACACATTGCATAAATAGGAGCTGCTGCATCACCGGTCACAAACCTGAAAGTTATAATATTTATGACACAGTTGTTGTCTTCACAATTGTTCATTCATTACAAAAAGTGATATTTTCAGTAAGATACAAATATTTTCAGTGTTAAAGCAATAGTATATGTTTTAACACCCTATTTGTTGCCCCCAAGAAATGTGAGGAAACTGTTTATTGTTTGGGGTACAGTACCAGTCGCCACTTTTCAAAACTATTACCATAATACCCTGCATATAAGCACTCTGCAGATAAAGGCGCCTGTGCTTGTATCCAAAGCATGGCCAGAAATCACGGACATGAGCCGCATACGGCAGTGGACTTTTTCTACGTGAGATTGAGTACTTCGTTTTACGGAAAGACAAAAGTGCAAATTCAAAATGGTGGACAAAAGGAGTGTACGAATAGATTACAATCAACTTCATCACATGTCGTCGGAGTTATTGTATGAAACAAAGCCAAGAAAAAGACTGGTGAAAAAATATCCTAAAACCTTTCAGGTTGAAAGAATCATAGCTCGTAGAACTACTAAAAAGGTAAGAAATATGCGCGATATAAACATTCTCATTTTGTTATTAAACTGTGATCAGATTTGCCTACACGAAAATTAATATTTAATGCCTTGAAATGTATGCTTGAAATTCAAATCAAGTTCAAATCGATAATTAATTGTGTAGTTGACATGTAGTTTCTTTCTTAGTATGAGGAATATCTTGTAAAATGGCAGGATTGGCCATTGGAAAGTTCGACATGGGAACCAAGCTGCCACTTTTCCACCCAGCTCTTGAGGTAAATGGAAGACTTGGAAAATATAAGGGACTTTACTGAATGTGTAGTGAAGATATAAAGGGATAAGAAGTGTTTACCAAAATATTTATAAATGAAAATGTTATTGAATATTTTGCAGAAATTATGACAACCCAGTGAAGCCTACTAAAGAAAGACTATATGAGGCAGGAAGACAATTTTTTTCTGGAATAAACACTGCTTTAAAAGGAAAATCGAGAGCACCAGTTTACGTCCATATTGATGGTGACATATGGCAATATTTGAGTCACAACAAAGGCAGAAATTCTGAGCATCGTGGATTTAAACTTTATGAAAAAGATGATTTCTGTCTGTTCAAAGAACTTCCAGACAACTGGTGGTATATCCTTGATAAGAATGGTGAA